ACTAAACCTCCATAAGACCTCTCCTCACCCCTAAAAACCCTCCTGCTTCTCTCAAGCCAGATATTCTGCAAAAAGTTGAAGACCAAAGTTATAGTGACATGATTGTCTAGGTAGCTTCAGCCTTTGTGTTTGAAGAATATTGTTTCTACAAGTTTCTCATTGGCACAGAGAATTAGGTTCAACTTGCAGAAGATTTATAATTGTTATTGTACATAATTTATTTTCTCTTGATGCATTCTCTAACCTTTTTGCATAGAGAAAGGTTTCTATACTTTATAGATCTTGTAATTTTCCTTGGATTTTCAGTATCAAACCAGTATCCGTCCAGTTTCTTCAAGAATTGTTTCATCCTACCTGAAATATTTTATTTGTTATTGGGATTATTTTGGGTTCAATTATTATATTTGATGTTCTGCAGGTTTTGGGAAGGTTATTTTGATTATTTGATGGAACGGTCTTCAAATAAGTAAGGATTTCATGTTTAGTTATTATTATTTGCTGTTCTCTAATTTCTTTTTCTGTGGCTGCTTGATAATAATGTTTTAGGCTAGATCTAGATGCAAATGTTTAATTAATAGTTTCATTCTTTGAAGTTTCACAAATTCTTGAAATTGGTCTTGCGGTTAGTTTTTCTCTAGCTATAGTAATAGAAAGTTGATTAGCCATTTTACCAAACTCCTCTACCTGGCCTTATGTTCTTTTAGGATGACATCATGCAGTTGCCACATCAAAGATTTCTATGCTCACTACACCAACTGCCAGATTCTTCTTTGCTATCGATTTCACTGATCTGTCTCTTCAGCTCCTCCGTTTACTTCAATCCTTCATAAAACCTTTCAATTTTCCCAAATTTTGATGATGCAGTCCAGACCTATTATTTTGTTGTCTACCAGAACTCCATTGATTTCACAAAGTCTGGAATCTGGATGCAGGGTCCACAAATATGAACGTAAAAGGATAGCGTCCTCATGACTTATTTCTAATAGAATAAGAAAATGATGTTATACACTTCTAGATTTCTAGTCAATTAACTGCACCACCCATCCTTCAGAAGCTAAGAGTGCGTTTGGTTGGTAATTTGAAAATAAGAGATTCAATTGAAAAATAGAGTTTTGATTGTTTATGGATGTGTTTGGTAGTTGAATTGGAAATTGAATCTCAATTTAAAAAATTGTTTAAAGTGTTTAATAACATATTTGCACCAACTAAATATTTTGTTCAATCTAAAATAATATTAATTAATTTATTAACATATATGTTATAAATTTCGTCTATAATATATTATATTTTACATCTTTTAATCTTAACAAAAAAAATTGATTTTATAACGTAAAATAATATATTTATCAATTTTTCTTTTATGTAATTCTGCATTTTAACTTACACTAAAAACATAAAAGAGTTGTTTTCAAAATTTTCACTATTTGGATGAACAAAATCTGAAAACAGTTTTCAAAAAACAAATCTGCCAGAGCTTCGACTCCCAGTTTCACAAAACAAAAAAAAAATCTGTCAAACAGATATTCACTAAATCAAATTGATTCTTGAATCTGAAAACAAGAAATAGAATCTAGATTTTAGACGGTAAAGTTCCAAAAATGGCTCTTTTTTTGGTTTCCCTTAGGTTGGGCCAAGTAAATTTACTATTAATCATTGGCTTTTCACACAATCCCAACTCATCAGTTCATTTGTTGAACATGCTCATACTATTTGTTTTTCCTCCATTGGGCTTCTCATAGAACCATCAACTGACATTGATCACCTATGTAGCATCTCCCTTTGCATTACACACCATGGCTCCTCTAATTATCCCAAAAATAGCCCCTTTCTTGATAATTAGATGATCTATGAGTATGGGCATTGGTAACCCATACCTCCGTACCATCTCCCAATGTAATTTTCATTGAAACAGAAAAAGCTTCTTCTTGTGCGTGTGTGTGTAATTTCAGTTTGTTTAGTTGTGTTCTTTTTTAATTTTTTCATGTAGATTTTACTGGTTCTTATTTTATTTTATTTTGAATGCAGATCCGCCAATTATGCATCTCTGGTTTCTGCACAGCTAATTGTTATGGCATCGCATATGGTATTCCTCACAAAACGCCACTTTAGCTGTCTTATTTTATCGTTCCTTTCTTGCAATCAAGTCCCCCACAACAAAATAAAGCGGAAAAAACCTTGATTCTATTTATTGCCTACTTGAAGGCTGGGCTTGGGCTTCCTGACACTGATGCTTGGTACATGATTGAGACAATTGCAGAGAAAAACAGCATTGGATACAAGCAACTCGTAAGTCAAATATCATTTTTTCTGATGCATCATAGTCTGCAATTGCACTCCGGAACTGTTCACATCTGCCACAACATACATTCAATCCTTGCTTCATCTATTAAGAAAATTTTTAAAGATAGTTGTTTGGTTGGTTGGTTAGTTATTTTAATATTTTTCCCAGTTTCATTCTGGATCCCATAAATTTCATGCATGATGTCACATGCAGAATGCAGTTTGAGAAGTTATAGAACTTGGAGTAGGCTTAGTAATTTCATTACCATATGAGTTCTCTCATTTAGTCATTTTACAATCCTACTGATATTATTTTCAGATAAGGCTCCGAGGATTCTTATCCCATATCCAGCAGCTGCGGATTAGTTATTGGGGGCTCTCTTCCTTCAAGTCCCAATCCGTATCTGCTCATGCATTGCCATCTCCACGTCCCAGTGATGGAACTGATCAGAATCAGCAGCCTGCTGAGGCTTCTGTTGTTGGAAGAAGCTGGGTTCAGAGCATGTTTAGCAGGGATACATCTGCAAGGATTAACTCTTTGGGTCGTAGTGGTCGTTGGTCTTCTGATGGTTGGTGCTTCATATGTAGCTTTTATCAATATTGTGTGGGTTAATATTTGCAGTACAATCACCCCGTGTGTTGTTTATTTGTCCTTTTGAGTTCAGCCACGAGTGAGAGTGGTACTCTTCAAAGACAAGATTTATCCCCAGCTGGCCAGAAAAAAGTTCAGAGCAATATCCGTGTTCTTAGGGGTCATAGTGGAGCTGTGACAGCACTTCATTGTGTTACGAAAAGAGAGGTGTGGGACTTGGTGGGAGACCGTGAGGATGCAGGTTTCTTCATTAGTGGAAGCACAGACTGCTTGGTAAAAGCTTGCATTTCTCATCGTTGGAAGACCTTTGTATTGGAGATTTTGTACAGTATGTGGGTTACAAATTGTTAATTCATATTGTGCACAATTGCGTAGGTCAAGATATGGGATCCAAGCCTTCGTGGTTCTGAACTGCGAGCAACTTTGAAAGGTCACACAGGGTATTTCCTCCAAATTCTTAAATCCTCATTCTGAGTGATCAGTTTGATTTACTCCTTTTTGTTCTACACAAGTCCATTTTACTCCTTACCTATATAAAGTGTCTCTGTATCCATTTTTTGAGCATACAGACCTGTTCGTTCTATTAATTCTGATCGAGGAAAAGTAGTTTCTGGATCTGATGATCAGTCCGTTATCGTATGGGATAAACAAACAACCCAGCTTCTAGAAGAGCTGAAAGGCCACGATGCTCAGGTTTTATTTTCTTGAAACCTTGGTTTTCATGACACTGAAGATAGAAACTTTAAAGATACTTATACGAACTTGTCAAATTAGGTTTTACTAATATTTTTTAGTTCAGTAGAATTCCATCACCGTAAGATAATATTGTGCAATAGTCGTCTTTGAAGAAATTGTAACATCGTAATGACTAATTAATGCCGTCCTCTTATCTATAATTGCACTTGTCATCACCTTCTTGTCAATTAAGTTCTACTTTTGGAAGTGTTCTGTATTTCATTTTTCTTTGAATCGTTTCGATCATTTCGTTAGATAAGGATGGCTCTTCAGCTACGGTTTGTGTGAGGTGATGTTTTGAGCAACAATGGGATATTCATATAGAGATTAAGGAGAGTAGAGAGAGAAGAGGAAGAGGATTTAAAATGCAAGGGTCTAGGAGGGAAGACGGGAAACAGTTAGTCAGTCACCGTTATTTGGAGTGAAGGACTAAGTTTGTAAACATAAGGGTGGTAGACAAAATAAATTCAAGTATCTTCCTCATCAATTCCTGAACTGCTAAAACTACAAATGTTAATTGATTTATAAATGAAAACCAATCACATTTCTAAGAGTCTAAAAGATTACTAAAACACAACAATGAAATATTTAAATAAAAATTTCTTTTGAATGAAATTGTGAAAATCAGTATGAAGTACAATGCCTGAACGTGTTGTATCTTGATCTTTGCAGGTCAGTTGTGTGCGTATGCTATCAGGAGAACGTGTCCTTACTGCTGCGCATGATGGAACTGTGAAGATGTGGGATGTTAGAACTGATACTTGTGTAGCTACTGTTGGTCGTTGCTCTAGTGCAGTTCTATGCATGGAATATGATGACTCCACAGGAATACTGGCTGCTGGTGGTAGAGATACGTATGTTAATTCGCTGAAATTAGATATGTTTGTTTTGTGTATGTCGATTTTGAAGGTGGCAGAGATGCGTATGTTAATTGTTTGAAATTAGAATGTTCTACAAAAGTCAATTTTGAGTGGTATACGATCACTAACTTGTTGTCTATGTACTGGTAACCTGCATTTCAGAGTAGCAAATATCTGGGACATCCGTGCTGGCAGGCAAATGCACAAGCTTTTAGGTCATACAAAATGGATACGGTTAGTGGTGTAACCCGTAACAGTTACTTTTATTTATTTGAAAAAACATATCAGTACAACCCAAAGGAGTCAATATTTATAGACTCAAAATGTGGGAAACCGGCCCACCAACTAAATGCATTGTAAAATAAATAAGGCGCAAATGCTAACTTGCGGCCCAGAGCACAGATAATTAAAGAATAAATAAAAAACCAAATCTGAGATTAAAAGCAAGGTGAACATTGCAGACACATCGGGCAAGCGTCTTCAGTGGTGTAGAGATCATTACTTTTTATTTTTGGCTTTCCTATCTTTGCCTCTTGGATATTTTAACATAGTGGCAAAGTTAATACATGTGTGGCATCCATGCAGCTCAATTAGAATGGTAGGAGACACCATAGTTACTGGTAGTGATGATTGGACCGCTAGGTTGTGGTCTGTTTCTCGAGGAACATGTGATGCTGTTCTAGCATGCCATGCTGGCCCAATATTGGCCGTTGAGTATTCCACACTGGATAAAGGAATAATAACTGGTATTTAACTTACCTTCTGGTTATTAATGCAGTAAAAGAAAACTGGAGTTAAAATTTGAAAAGAAGGCTACATGTTTTCCTTTCAGGTTCGACTGATGGGCTTCTCCGTTTCTGGGAAAATGAGGATGGTAAATCATCTGTAAAATTCCAAAGTTATTTATGGGGATGTCGTTTTACTTATTTTAACTTTCCTTTAGACGTCATCAAGTGTCAACTATGGACTTTGGTTTCTTGCATTGAGGATTTCCTTTTCTTGATCACGTGAAACTATGATGCAAACTTTTCTGGTTATATATGCAGGAGGTATTAGATGTGTGAAAAATGTCACTATTCACAGTGCTGCCATATTGTCCATCAGTGCTGGGGAACATTGGTTAGGAATTGGTGCGGCAGATAACTCAATGTCCCTCTTTCATCGGCCTCAAGAGAGACTTGGTGGCTTCACTAACACGGGCGCAAAAATGGCTGGGTGGCAACTGTACAGAACCCCACAAAAGACTGCAGCCATGGTATAAAGCCCTTTTTGTTCGAATTTTTGGACGGTTTGAGCTCTTTTGACAGCCTTTTTGGTTTTTTTATTTTTTAGTGTATCAGTCTTATTCTATCCTGAGGAAACGCTACCTTCTCACATAAGGCAGAAATTTATAAAACAGAAGGAAATTAGTAGTTACATAGTGACTTCCTTTATTTAGGCCAATGGAGACAACGCTAAATAACTGCATGCAATATTCAAATGTCAAGAATGTGTGAACATGTGTCGGATTGGATGCATGAATGTAATGCCATGAGATTTTGGTAGCCTCTTCTGTCATCTTCGATTTTTGTTCATCTTGAATCCTATATAAGTTTATTGCATAATTTGTCAATAGGGGGTATGCCTACAACCAAATTGTATTTCCGTTATAGACCAGAAGACAATCTTTCCTTGTCCACAGAGATCTTGCTTTTCTAGTTCTCTTGGTTTTGCTTTTTATTATTATTACTTTTAACTTATAAGAAAAAAAAAAGAATCCATTTTAACTCATCTATTGTATGCCTCCAGGTACGATGCGTGTCTTCAGACCTCGAAAGGAAAAGAATATGCACTGGTGGCCGTAATGGCCTTCTGAGGCTCTGGGAAGCAACAATCAACATATGAGGCAATATTGTCTTTGCGAGTTCAAATGCTGTGCTATTTTATCGTGTAAATTTCCTTCTTTTGCATTCTTTAAACAACTTACAGATACCTTAGCGTGGTTTATGCCATTTGTTTGGTCCACTGCTTCTTTTTAGTTTGCTTTATCAATGCTGCGGGGAAATGTGGATCGAAGAGTCGGCTAACTTCAGCTAAAAAGTGGACTTGGTTGATGTAGTTCTTCTAGAGCCCTTGTGTTCATTCGGTATGAAGAAGATTACATTGTTGTTTAGATAAAAAGAAGACAGCAGCAGAGCAGCTTCTTAATCTGATGTTCATATTATGATATGATCATTTCATTTTAATATTCATAATTCTCTTTGGAATCTCATTCTCTTTACCTAAAATTAACTCAACTGCCAACTTTGAACATTGCTACTTACATTTCAGAGAAGTGAGGACTCATCGTAAGACAGTGAAGCCTACTCTCATGGAAATCGAGTTGGACCTTAACTGCCAATGCCAGATGTGGAAATGTGTCATCAATTTTTATTTACCTCATCTAAGTTTTGGATCAAATTTTTATATATATATTGTTGGTTAAAATTTTATTTGTTTTCGCTCTTATTCGCATTGGAATGTAGCATAAGAATATAAGAGATGCTGAATTTAAAGATGTAAGCATCTGGTTTGACATTGACTAGTCTTTTTGTTGCAAATTGTGTTGAATTAGCATGTTTGCTTCGGAAAATTAAATTGATTTAAATCTGTGCCCAAACCAAGTTCAACTAAAGCAAAATCCACCTTAATATCTTCCCTTTTAAAATTGAACCAAACGACAATAATTTACTAAACCAGTTGAGTCCATGTGAAAAAGAAGAATTCAGTTTTTTTTCAATGTACAACCATACCATAAGCTTGAATATTTAATTCATATGAACATAGTTTAGTGTTAATTGATACCTATCTCTCATCGAGAGGTCGTGAATTCGAATTCTCCCACTCCACTTATTTTACTAAAAAAAAATTTCAATAAAAACTAATGAACCTTTACAAATGTGTGTGTATATATATGTATTCCCCATATTTCTCTAAAAAAAAATTATGACAGCGAGATTTAAATATTAGTAATGAAATAGACCTGAGTTTAATTATCATATTCGATTTCATTTTGAATGAATAATTATATTTATTTTACAAATCATACCTTAGATTTTGAAATCGACGTGAGTTTAATTATCATATTCAGACTTCATTTTGAAGGAATAATTATACTTATTGTACCAATCATACCTTAGATACATTTGCAAAATCTAATAAATTTTTACATCTTTTTATTAAATCTTATGGTTTAAATCGATATGAACAACGAAATTAAGACATTATTTCTAAGGTAGGTGCTCTAATTTCTCATGCCAATTTCGTTAGGGGAATTGGAACTCGTTTTACTGAAATTAATTTTGATTAAACTGATAAAATGATTTGGAAAACTATAAATGAAAATGTTCGAAATTAATTTTTAAATATAAAAATATATGTTTGATTTACCTTTACCCGCGAGGAAGAGACGGATAAATTAGGGTTTAATCGATTTTAGTTTTCTCCCGCCAAGTGTGAACCTAAATCCTCAATCCCTCCATTGCAGCCTCTTGTCTTGCGGCTCTTCCTCCTCCCGCCATTGTTGTATCTGTTACTTCAATCCCTTCAAATTCTTCCCCATTTTGAAACTCTTGAAGATTATTGGAACCAGTCAAGAACACGCAATATGAATATTGGTGTTTCTATATCTTCAATTGCTGCCCTCCGCCTTCCTATTCGCCTCCATTGCTTTCGCACCTCCAAAATCCTCACATCCTTCCCGAATTCTGGAAGCTTACGTATCTTTTCGTCAATGTCCACATCCTCGCCTCCGACCGCGGATCAGCTGGCTGTAGATGACAAGAAGCCCTCGCCGCCGCCCAAGCCATGGCTCATCGTGGGCCTTGGGAACCCTGGGAAGAAATATGATGGCACGCGCCATAATGTCCGTATGGTCCTATCTCTGCGTATATGAATTCCAAGTTGCTTTTATCGTTATTTCTTTTGTTCCTTTTATTTTGAGCTTGAACGATTTCTATTTCATGCATTTATGTGGGAAATTAGCTTCTGTTTTATTGAAAACCATGTTGAGCGAGAAGATTATGCCCTATTTTTCCAAGCACGAATGCATATTTAACTCGAGGGAATTCGATTTTATGTTGATTTATAAAGCTGTAGAATGCTATATTATTTGTTACTGTTTTTGTTAATAGTCATAGTCGGTGTCATCTGGATGCCTTTGATCACGGATTGAAGCACTAGCAGCACCTAATGCGATGACTGAATTTCCAGGTAGGTTTTGAGATGGTGGATACTGTAGCTGAAGCTGAAGGGATATCCATGAGTAGTGTATCCTTCAAAGCTCTGATCGGGAAAGGTGTGCAGTTTTTAACAAGTTTCATGCTATTACCAACTGCTTTTTTGTCAACTCTCAACAGTTCATGAAATTAAAATATCTGGTTAGAACATAGAAGTATATCTAGCTGCTTATTTGCTTGCCTTGAACTTGACTAACTTGCTAGTAGATTACTGACTCCTTCCATTCCTCTTTGAAGATGTGTAAATCTTCTTCCTTATTGTAGTGTTGAAATTGTTTGACCGTGAACTCTAATTTGGTAAAATGACAATTATATTGTCTGCAATTGGACTCTAATCGACATTCTAATTATATTTGTGCATTCTCAATCCTTAGTAGGCATATTTCTCTAGTTGGAGTTTGCTTTTCCAGATAGTAATGGCACAGCACTTGTTTGGCTGCATGTTGGAATCTTTTTTAGCAAATTTTTTGTATTATGATTATTTTCTTGTAATGCAATTAAAATATCAAGAAAAGTTGGATCTCTCTTCTCCTGCAAAAGGAATTATTTTTAACTTTTCAGGACAAAGTAATAGCGATATGATTATTTCCCAGCTGTACTCTATTGATATATTGGAGATAGTCTAACAGCATTTTCTTGTATTTCAGGTTTCATCGGGGATGTTCCCATAATGCTAGCCAAGCCACAAACTTTCATGAATGCAAGTGGTGAGTCTGTAAGTAAGCTATCTCAAGGATTTCTATCCATATTAATTATTCAGTTTGTCCTTTGTTCTTAGTGGCTAATTTGTTGTGTACTTAACCTTCGTTTGCAGGTTGGTGCTATTGTTTCCTACTATAAGATTCCATTGAAGCAAGTACTTGTGGTAATATTTTATTCCCAATGGAAGAATAAGAAGTATTAGTATTATTTACAAGTGATACAACTTTTAGGAGAAGGGAGGAGGTTGGGCTGTGGGGGTGGGGATCGATATGATTCACTTCTTTTTTTTTCCTACCACATCTAAGCGATGAATTACGGTTCATACAACAGATTTTTGATGACTTAGATTTGCCATTTGGAAAATTGCGGATGCTGCCCAAGGGTGGCCATGGAGGACAAAATGGGTAATTATCTTTTTTGGATTACAATTCAGTTTAATGCCTCATTTTGGGTGAGTTTGATGGCGTACATTTTTTAATATCCTTAATACTAATGGGTACAGTGGCAGGTTTTCGTATAATTTCTTCTGGATCATGCTTCATGCTACCTACTTTTGCTGTACAACAATATATATTAATTGAATTCATTAAATTAACGAGTGAGCTTCCAAAAAAAATAGATAAGTAGAGTGATAGAGTGAAGAAGGCTTGATCTACTACATGATGGAAGGTTTTTGTGGGCGTTTTGTCCAATCTATTTTTAGGCTTTGTATCTGAACAATACTGATTTTTTTTTTATTTGATTCTGTGAGGCAGCGATGTGTTGTCCAACCGGAAAAAAAAGAAGCATATTCTATTTGATGGATTTCTGGTTGTAAGGATGAGTTTTTGCTGAATTTTGTCCCCCAAGAAAAAAGTATACTTTCTTTAGATAGGATTTCTTACTTGAAAAGTTTTGACTGCAAAAGTTTTCTTCTTTTAAAAAGGCATGCTTTCTTCAGATAAGAAGGTAGATTTACTATTGAGTTTTTGCAGCTTTAAAGGGAAGAAATCACATTTAATTGGGTTGACTGAGTAGTAGTAAATGTGAAAGTTGTTGTATAAAGATTATAAGATACCATGGACGCTTGATCGTAGAATTTAAGCTCCGTCTAGGAATTTGAGTATTTGTTGTATGTTCAAGTTTGTAAATAGAAAAAACATTAAGAAGAGTGAAGGAGAAAAAAGTGTAACTTTTAATTTGCTTATTTGCTATCTATGGCAGGATGAGGAGTATTATTGATCACTTGAAGGGAAGTCGTGATTTCCCTCGATTAAGAATTGGTACGTTTCTTAGAGCTCTGTTAGCACTTCCACACTGTTTTGAGATAATTTCAGCTGTTAAATTGGTGAAAACCTTATAGGCATTGGACGCCCTCCCGGGAAAATGGATGCTGCGAACTTTGTTCTGCGGCCCTTCAACAAACAAGAACGAGAAGAGGTGTGTAAAATACAATCATATTTCTGCAAAATAAAGCATGTCGATAATCAATCTTGACCTTTAATCATTCAAGGGGAATATCTTTTCAGTTGAATTTTACACTGCAAGTTGGCTTGGAGGCAATTCGGATCCTTTTGCTCGAGGGGTTTAACAAAAGTGCAACATTTGTCAACACCAACAAACCTCTGGAACAAATAGGTTGAAACTACTCATTATTTAAACCTTTTATAGACTCTAAAAGGACTCCATTTTGTTCTGTATCAAACTATTTTATTAACTGCTTAATACACGGGGCGGCATTCGCTACAGTTTCAACTACCAACTTCCTTGAAAGCTTTGGATGAGATTCATGGCGAGAAAGACCTGTTGCAGCAAGAGACACCAGTGTCATAATGCTAAATAGTCGGCAAAGGGTCACTAGTATTTTGAATCCCATCAATGGTAATCTCATTGCCTTTCTCACTCTCCCGTTCCTTTTGGATCGAAATCTCTTAGGCATAAAGTTGTGATCTTTGAATAGACCAATAAAGTTAGTAATCTCCCCCACCAGGCAGCAAACAAGCCGAGAAAAGTTGAGAAAGACAGGAATTGATAAAGGTGAGCTTCCATGCCTTTCGACCTAACCTTTAATACTTTAGTGTCCGTTCGGTAATTTTCTTGTTTCTAGTTTTATTGAGAAACTTGTACGTTTGGCAATTGTTCATGTTTTTTGTTTCTCAATTATTTAAGAAACGTTTTTAAAATTGTGTAGAAATTTTGGAAACCAAAAAATAAGTTTCTTGTTTCGTTCCCTTTTCAAATAAAATCAAGTTTTCTTCTTTTTTTTTTCAGTTAAAAACATGGAAGGGCAAGAAATAGTTATGAAATGTAATTATATTTTTCTTTATTAAAAAAAATGAAACAAGAAGCTTGTACGTTATCAAAGGGCTCTTGATTATCTCATCTCGGCATCACCAACGGAGGCTCTTTCTTTACCTTTCTTGTCTGGTTCTTCAGCTTTTTGCATTCCCCCTGTTCTGAGGGGCCCACGATTTTCCTGTAATTTACTGAACTATCTCAAATTGACTCAAATGGATTAAATCGATCAAAATCAAATCTAATGGATTGAAACCAACTATATATATATATTTCAAATGGGATTGAATCAGGTGCTAATTATTTGAAAGCCTGTTGATCAGTCGAGGCAACTTGGAGGAATGAGGCCTCTCTCCTTTTGATTTTAACTAAAAAATTATGTGACATATTTTGATTTTTCATTGGAGGTGGGGTTAAAAAGGATGGGGAGTTGCATTTAATTGATGGTGGAGAGAAGATGGACAGGAAAGATGAGACATTTGTGAAGCCTGAGTTTGCATGGCTGCCTTCTTTCCTCCATATTTCAATTCATTTCATAAATGCAAACTGTCCTCCAACACTTATTTCTTCTCTATCTTTTCGGAAACCTCACCTACCCACTCCCTCTACTCTAATTTATTGGGGTGGACCCCCGGTGGGCCTTTTTTTTTTATACCTTAAAAAAAAGAGAGAAAATTTTGTAGTATAGAAATTTCTTTATACTACGTTCCTTGTCAGCAAATATTTAAAAATAATGCAAAGTCATCGAGAAGCGAGTCTAACTTAGTGGTAATGGTATATATTTTCAATTAAGAAATCATCATAGTGCAGAGTCATTAACATAAAACAATCATTTAAATACTATTTTTATACATGTATTTTTAATTTTTATTTATTTTTGTCCTTTTTTAAAATATCAAAATAAATTCTTTGAATATATAGAGCAATAATAAATTGAGGTAAAAATACAAGGGCTAAATAGCTTCTCAAAATTTTGACCAACCCGACATACAAAATGTGGGCAGATTTCACAGTTGGGGTTTGCAAAAACGAAGTGATGTCGTTTTGTTTGCAAACATTCACATGAACCACCGCTCCCATTGTTGTCCTTTTCCAACTCCAACTTGTGTGTCTCTTGTATGTATTCTTATTCATATTCATATTAAGATTTCCCATGTGCCTCTCTCCTCTTAAATCTAATCTAAATTAATTTTCCATTATTCTCTAATTTCAAAGATTATATTTTATTCACACCCACATGATGTCTCCCTCCCCTTGGCAATTTTCTTCCAATTATTACTTTGTGGAATGAGTACATTATTGTAGCCCTTTTTTTTTATAATTAAAATCAAGTACTGTTGACACCCACGTGTATTCTAGGATTTGTTTGTGTATACGCGTGAAACTGCAAAATGTGCTCTAAAAATTAAAAAGTTCTTCATTATAATAGTATATAAGAAGATATTTTATTTTATTTTTTATTGTTTTTTTAAGATTCCTTGTTCATTATGAAGCATGATCCTTATTCACTCACATTCTAATTTGTTTTCCACTAGTGGTGCACTATTTCAATTATTATTGGTCTATGCTTTGTAATTTTTATTCATGTGAGTTTATATTGTATTAAAGGATTATTATTGGACATTTAATTTTTGTTACAATCTTATAAATTTGGACTAAATTAGTCACTTTTAAAATTATAGGCACCAAAACGAACGTCTTGAAAGTACGATGATTAAAATGATTAAAAATTGAAAGTACAAACCAAAATGAATAGTAAAAAGGCCAAAATAGTTTTCCAACTTATTTTTATTTGTGATTTAACTCAAAATGAATATAAAGTGTTTTTCTTTTTTAAATGAGTGTTATAATTCTTTAAGCTTTAAAGAAATTCTATTTCATATATTTTTCTGATTTTCTATCATTATAAAGTTATAATTATTGTGTCGTGAATAACAATTTGTGAAAAGAGTTGTCTAATTTTATCCTTTTTAAAGAAAATACTGGTGAAAGTATGAATTTACAAGTTTAACCTTAAATTGAAGAAAATTAAGGTCAATAAATAAAGGCGGCCACTGAACGTGAAATATAATAATATTGGCAGCTGAAAAGTTTGTTGGCTTAAAATGACTAAGAAGACCTCACCGACAATCACGGCTCGTGGGCCCCACATCCATTTAAATCGATGGCCCTCAATCCATCTTGAAAAACATTATCGTGGTCCTTGCCGCACCCTACCATTTTTAAGTCGTCCCTCAAATTTAGTAATTTAATTATTCATTTATTATGCTGTCTTCCACTCCCTAGCGTGGATCCCACCTCTTCCCTTCTCCCAAGCTCTCGTTTTTTTTCCTAATTTAAATATATTGGTTAAATTATAAAATTTGAAATTTCAAAAATATGATTTTTAAATAAAATTATTTTTATTTAATAATTACTAATTTAGATGAGATTTAGCATAGTTTTTTTTATGTAAATTTAGATAAATATATGCATTTTTTCAAATAATATAAAACCGTATTGCTTTACTAACTTTATTGTCAAAGAAATATTTGAGAAAAAATTATTTTAAAACGATTGACATAATTGTAGTTTTTTTAGTACAATAAATAGGAATAGAAATGTCAGAATAAGTGGGAAGAATGCATTAATTATATTTTTTTGAAGTTGAAGGTTTAATAAATTCAACAAAAGAAAAAATAATTTAGACTATGTTTAGCCTTCCAAATTTTCAAGATTTCAATTATGTAATTGAATTTTGAATTATGTTTTTATTGAACTTTATGATTAACACTTTTGACAAAAATACTGGTCAGTGCCTAGCTATTTGACCATATCAAGCTAATTCAGCACCCGAAAAGAAAAAAAAAATCATGAAAACATTAGCATTTCAACTCAAGAGTATAAAGACATAATTTTAAGTCTTTACCCAATCAAGATTTTTAAAAAAACCTTTAACATATTCCAAAAAAATATATGAAGATAAAAAATGTTACAAAAGAACTAAAAAATCCAATAATCAAACGGGAATAGCAACAAAAGTTTTAAATGTCGAACTGTCCAAGTTTCAATTTTATAAAAAATATTGATAAGAAATTATGATAAAATATGGATGAATATTTTTTAAAAAATTATAAAAATATATAGTAAATAAGTAAAAAAAAATTGTAATATTATGTCCATATTAATCATATTATATTGTGGGTAGAGAGTTGAAACTAGGGCACAAGCTTGCACTATATTTACAATACATGCCACTCAACTGAATCTCACAGTACAACTTTTAATAATTATGATTGATTTATGACTACCACATGCAAAACCCCCTCTACCCCCCATTACTTATCCACATCCACATAAATCACAATGCCTAAAAACCCTCACTTCTAATATAATCAACCACACACCCACGCACCCCAATTTCGTCATTTCCATAACCCAAAACGAAAGAAAACAAAATTAAAAGAAATAATAAAATAAAATAAAAGAAGCCAAACCCTAATTTATTTCTATTGTTACCCTTTCTAACATTTATTGGGTGAAAACCCTACGAGCGAGTTTGCCAAATCGAAGTTGACACGTGTCCCCTGCTGCTGAACGTTCCCTATGATCGACAGAGACGACGTCGTTGGGGCGAACGCAAAGCAGAAAGTTCCGGCTGAGTCCA